GCAAGTAGCACAGCAAAACTGAAGTGCTCCAAACCACTGGGGGTGATGATCGTCGTCTTATTTGGGAGCAGGGTGGTATTAAAGGTATAAACAGGAAGCTACCGGAAATTAAACATTAAAAAAGGGTCTTTCTTCCCTCCACATGTCCTTTGAACAGCATCCGGTTTAAGATTTTACAAAGGGTCCGGCCCATGAATATTAATTCTTAGTAATGTTTATGTTCTGATCCCATATAATGAGCTATGCTCAGATAACTTGCAGCTTTTCTTAACTTGCAGCATTTTTCCTTTGCAAGTGCTTTAGAAGGTATCTGCAGTGGGGTTTGTGTTTGCTGTAGTTTCCCCACTGCTGCTGTCCATTTATTTTGCAAATGCAACTTTTTTCTTTGGTAGCATTGTTTATGCTTTAGTCTATTGTTTTGTTTGTTTTCTAGTCAAATTTTTGTGATTGCAGGATCCTTAAAGTCATGCACAGTGTATGGATCCCTCAGCCAGGGGTCAGTTTCAGGTGGTTTTGTTTTTTTTCCCTTCTAAATCACAGCATCAGGCTACAGCCTACAACTCAGTAATATGCACAGCCTATTCTGATTTGAATAGAAACAACAGTCTGAACAACCATCTTCTTTAAAGCTGACCATTTGAGGCTGCTTGTGAAGAGCTTTAGTATCTACATGCTGAACAGTAGTCTAACCCATGATTGCACAGGCTGAAATATTGCCCGTATTCAATAGTTTGTAATCATGTGTGGCATGAAATTAAGATTGTTTTCAAATGACCATGTTATGCATTCAGACAAACTGGGCACCTGGAAAGGTTTCGTTTTAGTTTCTTCCATTGCCAGCCGTCCATATTCCGTGAAGAGCTTTAGAAAATAAAAAGAAAGAAGAACAAGAGTATAATAATAAAAATACTTTCTAAAAAATGCATTCATTTGGTGTTGAAGTGAAGTAGTATCACAAACCTGCAGATGCTGCAGATCATCTTCTTGGATGTTATTGGAAAGGTTGTACACCTGAAAAAGGCAAATATACCAATGTTTACATTGATGCTTTGGCAAAAACAAGCAAAAAAGAAAATATTCCAGTTACCTGGACAGAGCTGGTCATGGTGCTGAGAGCGAACACGGTAGCAGAGTCTTTGATGGTGGACTGGCTGTCAAATGCTCCCTGAGTGTCAACAAGGAGTACAGCAACCTACGAATCAGCAGTCACTGCGTTTAAAATTCTTCTAAATAAGGAAGAAAGACTTTCCAAGTAAGCACATGTGGGGAAAAAAAAAAAAAAAACCTACCTTACTCCCATCCGGCTTATCAACCACAAACACATCGCTCCACACCTGAATTCCTGTGGTCTCCCTCTCACAGCCTCCTCTCCATTTGAACCCTGTCAGGGGCTCATTGTTGCCTCCAATCCAGGAGACACTATCCTGTAGAGCACAGGGTGGAAAATCAGGGACAAAAATGGAAATGATTAAATGAAGAGCCAAGCAGAACTTGGCACAACTTAAAAACTCTGGAAAGCCGGCTGTGTTATAATGCCCCTTCATTGACCCGCTGCAGGTGGTGGGAGACAGAAGACACAAAAATACCATCACTGTTGGATATCATCTCCCACTCCATACATGCAGCTGTTGCAACACTGGGGCTTCATGTAACAAGCACGCATAAGCACAACAGATGTGTAGCAAAATATTTTAAGAAAAGACTATTTAAGCAGCAACTAATGATTATTTTGCTAATCGAATAATCAGTGAATTATTTTTTAGACTAATTGATGAACAATAGGATAGCAAAAGGTTCTTTGAAGATTTTATTACAGAATTAAACCAAGTGAAACTAAAACTTTCCACTTGAGAAGTTCTGAATAAAGCATATTGACTGACGGAAAAGTTTTTGCATCTTAAATGTAAAACATTTATATATTTTTCCACAATGTTGGTATGCCATACTATCCAGACTATAAGCCATTTGCAACTCTTGCAGATCCAAAATAAAGAGCTGACTAAGTCCCACCTTTCATTAGAAGCTCTTACTGCTGCAAGCTAACGGGAACTAGCATTCTTCTTTAATCCTACTCTAGGGGAGATATGTAGAGCTCCTCCTACAGGTTTGGTTTGGGACAGTTCAGTAGATATCAGCAGCAAATACACATAAATTTCCAGTTTAAAAAAATTAGTGGCTGTGACTTATAGTGAGGTGTTTTAAAAAGTCTGTGGGGACTTCATATGGATCACATCCAAAAACACAGATTTCCTCTGTGTATCATTTAAATAATGATCCATTCTGTTCAGATGGAAAGTGCCAAGAGCTCAGCTAAGTGTTCACTTCTCAGTATAGCGGTGGCAAGGTAGAATACTTCAGTATGTGACGCTCCTGAAACGCATCTATTTCTGATTAAAAACAAAATACGCTCATGATTTATAAAATAAAGGTTTGATTAGAGTGTTTAACACTTTAATCCACTAAGAACTATATAGGAAAACAATAACACATGAATTAAAGATATTAATTTATGCTTAGACCCCCTAAAATTATACAAAGTCCCCCTGCTGTAGGGGCAGGGCTTTGCCATTTTTACAATTTACATCAGAAGTTGGTTACTTCAGACACTTTTTAAACTCTTTGTTTTATTTCAAAACTGAAGGTCATTCAAAGTTTTAATATATAATCTAATTTAAACACAATTATATATTATTGAGCACTGTCTGCTGTTTGTAGAGATTAAACATTGGTTGATAAAGAACCCTAAAGTCAATGGATTTAGTACAACTTCATTAAATTCTCATTGTGACCAACCTCTGGTGTTTACTATCTGCATCGATTGTAAAATTGGCAACACTACTGATGCAGCACGGTACTCAAGGTATTTGGTGAAATGTTCCCTGGCAAGCTTCAGAGAAAGAACATGCTTTCATGTGCCACCATATTTGAAAGCCCTTTCCCACTAAAACTGTACAGGCGCTGGCCAGGATTTTCCACTGAAGGCACTTGTTTTTTCTAAAGTCCACTACAAATTTTAGTCATGCTTAGAAGGCATTGATTATGACAAAAACAAAAACTTTTGTTGGTCAGTATCTTCTCACAAGCTGGTATCCATAGCATTCACAAAAATCCTTAAGAAATGTACCTGATTGTACATGTAGCGCAGCATAAAGTCCAGCAGGAAAGACTTGCCCTTCCGAAAAGCTCCGGCTACAGAAACTACCACCACATTCAGGTCCTTCACATGATCTTGCAGCAGGATCTTCTCCAGTGCAGCATTATCAAGCTCAAAGATGTAGTCGCTCTCGCTGGCTCGGACGATCTGGATGGGTCCTGGCTTTTCCTCCTCAATCACAGCCTAAAGGAAACACGTTCCAACAGGTTTTCAATGACACCCAAAGTGCATACATTCACACTCCTGATGGAACCCATTATCTCCTTACTGAGGTAAAGGCAAAACTGCTCCCCCCAACAAAGAATCACCTGAATACATTAATAATTCTAAACTTCCTTTGATAATAATCATTTATCTTTAAAATGTAATTTTATCTTCAAAAATGTACAATGCACTTTCACTTAAGCAATCTTAAGCCTATTCCATAACACATGATATGACATGGAATTAAAAATCTTTGTTAGGACGTTAAGTTCAATTTGCAACAATTACCGTTTACCACTAAATTCCTTAAAAAGTATGACATTGATGACTTACACTGATCTGGTGTACACTAATAAAGTAACTTAATCTGTGGCACGAGACATATGTGGTTTAAATATATTAAACATATCTTTAAAAAAAAAGATTTGACGTAATCATGGCTGTAGAGAAAACCCACATTGGGATGTTAGTTTACAGAGAAAGCTGAAGGTTCTGCAGGGTTACTACTACTATGATTTCTTATTTGTTATGATAGACAGACTGCTTTTTTTTGCAGCTTTATAAAGCAAATGAATTAAATTTACATTGAAGTGCCTGTGCTATTAAAAGGGAAAATATGAGGAATATGTACCTTTTCCTCCTCAATTCCTTCATCTGGTGAAGGACTAACGCTTTCATTTTGACAGCACTCTGCAGAAATTGTCCTGATTTTTAGCCCATCATTCAGGTCTCCGGGCCGGAGTGAAGGCGGCTTCTGGTTATTGTGAAAAGTGGGCCCATCTTCCATGTCTTTGAAACCTTTAGAAAGACAAAAGAAAGAACACAGAAAACACAGGTTACACACATAGACATAAACAGGTCAGAATTTTAATCAAAGGGGAAAGAAACGGAACTGATTTTTTTTTTTTTAACACAGAGGATATCATTTGATTTGGTGGTGAAGGGAAGTGATTGTCCTATATCAAATGTAGATGGGAATGTTGCTTCTCAGCTAGACTGAATTTGCTTTTTACTCCGGACTTCCCAACTAGGTCAAACTGAAAATAGCCTTGTGATGAAATACACAAAGGGCTGGAAAAAGGGACACGAGTTAAGTGTGCCACCAGGACAATATTTTTACATTCTGTGTCTGTCAAATTGATCTTTAAAGGATAATCTTCCCCTTAGGTAATAATCAGGTTTCTGTTAAAACACTTTCTGATTTCCTCCTGTGTCCCACAATATAAAAACTGTGGAGTGAAAACGTCAAACATTTAATAGTGATCCATGCCGTTGCTTAGTTATCCTGGCAGCAGCTATTCAAGAAATTTAACAAGTCTTCTTTATAATAAAGACAAAATGTAGTCAAAAAGTTAGACCCAATTCTTTTTGTAAATCCCCATGTCAGGCCTCCTGAGAAAATAAACATAAGAAAACCTTCCTCCTTTCAATCAGCAACATCTTTTCCAGGTTAAAAATCGAGTTACACTTCCTGGACAGACAGGCTGAACCACAAATTATAAGCATTACTTCTTCAGATATTTCAGTGATAAAGCATTCAGCTGTCCCTTGCCACCAAGCCTTTTTTTAAACCATTCCTATTAGGACCCATCACTTTCAGTTTGCTTATAAAAGCTTCAATTGCTTTTACATCATCTTCTGACATTGAAGAAGTACCTAAGGATTTAATCTGAAAGATAGAAAGATGATCAACTTCTTTCAATGTTTTAAGAAATATTCCCATTAAGGAGAAGAAATGAAAATACAGAAGCACATCCAATGATCGACATGGACATGCTGCAATGTTAAAGCACAAGTCAGTTACTGTAATCAGCTCCATACACAAATTAGCCCTGAGCACTTCCGCAGTTTGTGGCACTGCAGGTTCTTATCCAGGCTGGAGCAGCACTTAGCAAAATAAAGTGGAGCAAACTGAGCCACAGAGCAAAGGGAGCCGACACAAAGATGGTATTCAGTTTGGACTACAAGGCGACCCCGTCGCACAGGAAAGGAGTTTATGATAAAAAAACAAAAAACAATGAAACAAATCATGTTTAAATATCTGGTATATAGCCTAACAATTAGGTGGATAATGTAATGTGACCAGAGTGTATATATTTTGCATAGTTTAAAATGGAAATATGTGGGCCTTATGTCACAAAACAGGGCTGCATGTTATCAAAAAGAAAAAAAACATACATTAGCCATAATATTAGTACATGTTGCCTTTAGCTTTCATCCATGCCGTCTAACTCCGAATTTTTCAATCCTGCTCTTCGGGCCACTGTTCTCTATGTTTTAGAGATTTCCCTGCTTCAGTACACCCGAGTTTAGTTGATGACAGATTAACAAGCTTTGCTAAACCACAATCGTTACATTCAGGTGTGATAAAGCAGAAAACACGTTGAAAACATGCAAGGCAATGTGCCTCAAGGAGAAGGTTGAAAAACTCTAGCCATGTTTACATTAACCATCAAATTGTAATTACGAAAAAAGAAAATTGCCAAATGGAAACACTGCAATAAAAAAAAAAAAAAAAAAAACTGCATTTTTTTAAAATAAGTTTTACATTTCGATAAGGTGGTTGTTTTGGTTCTTATATTTCTCAAAACTGCAATGGAACACGTTTTCACATCCCACGATGCGATCCACAATCGGACCTTACTACCTTGTAAAAAGACGAAGAAAAATTGAAGTAGTTGGAGGATCACTACAGCCGTAGCTGAAATATGGATACATCTCATGTAGTTACATCCCCAGTTGCACAGATGATTCAAAGTTATCACCTGAACAAAGTTATTCACTACAATTTTAATTGTATTTATTATTTAATCAAAAATACTGCAGTTATGATCATTTGTATTGAATTTTATGAAATAAGCAGAATATTGATATAGTTTTGAACACATTGGTAATAGAAACGCAGCTAATTCTAAGATACATTTCTGCACTGAATCCAAATGAAGCTGCATTAATCTACCTTGACTCCAATTATAAATCTAAAACAGCCTCAACTTAACTGCAACATGCTCTAATTATCTAAAGGAAAAAGTATTATTATCCAATCTTTATCCAATCCAATCCAATCAAAAGCAGGAACTGAGATTTCTAAATTCCAGTGCCAACATACGACATGTTCTATCCTCACTAGATGGGGGACAAATGCTCAGTTATTGTAGGCAAACCAACGAGGACAAAGTGCAGATTACGAGGGAGTCAGTCTGTATGAAAGCAGACATAAAGGTCAATCAGATAACAGATCCCTAATCAAACTGTATGTCAGAGATGAGCCATTGAAATCACACACAAAAAAATGACTTTTATCCATGAGTGTAAGTCTGGGCTTAACATTTATTCAATTAAAACAGTGTTTAAAATTCTAATAAGATTCTAACAGGACCTAATCCATGTATCCCAAATTTGTATAATTATACCAATTGGGGTTCCTGTAGCATCAGGTTATATTGATATCAAGTTCCAATTGATCAATTGTAACAACATTGAACATTTCTTCCAGTAATGAATGTTTAATTAATTATACAGAACCATTACACACAGAGTAATGCAATTTAAGTGTTATCCTGTCCTCAGACAATGGACTTATGTCTGTACTTGTTCTGTTAGATCCAAGTGCTGCATTTTATACAGTTCATTACAATATTCTATAGGAGCTGTAGGGATCCAGGGAACAACACTAAACTGGTTTACTTTCTTGTCAAAGAAATTTAATTTTATTCATGCTAACAATAAGTCTCTACACTTGACTTGTGGCATACCATATGGTTCAGTGCTTGGGCAACTCTTTACTTTTAATATACCCTCATTGGTAACATACTCAAAATAGCAAGTGATAAGAAAAATAATGATAAAGCATTTGAAAAGAGGAAGAATTGAAACATTATAGCCAGTCCTAACTGGTTCCTGATGCATAATCGTAGCAAGAACATATCTTATGAAACAATTAAAAGGTATCACGTAAAGCCCAAAAATCCGACGGAGGATTGCCATTACACAATGCAATTAAACTATACCTGTTATTATTGTGATTACAATTAAACTACCAATGGTAAATGGTTCTCAGCAGGACTTTTTCTCAACATAATAGTGGTGGGATAAAGGTACGCCATTTAGGGACAATTCAATGTTTGTCCCATTTTAGTTTTTCCCCACATTCTGTTTTATTTTCCCATTTGTATTTAATCTTACTTTAAAAAGGCATCCTTTTGTAACAGTGCTTTAGAGTCAAATATAAAATAACAAAGAAACAAAACGTACAAACCAATAATATTTCCACACTTGCCTATTAAATAGGATCCAAGCTAATTTTTACTTCTTACAACTGTCAGAGGTATTAAAAAGCAATTGCTTTTCTTTTTAAAAAAGGACAAAACACTTAATGTGCTAAATGATATCCTGTTGATGTAGCCGAACGTTGAATAATTTTCAGGTGTCTGGCTCATGCTAGCTAGCTTCTTCTCGCCGTTTCTGGTGTGACTGACTATAAGTGGTTATCAAATGTATAAGGTGTCCAGATGACTGAAGAGTTACTCTCCATGTTCTGCCCAAACTTTTGCACTGTTTTTTAGAGGACATCAGAGCTTGAACTTGCCTCCTCGCTAAGCCTGTCGTATGTAATCAGGACATATGGACAAAATACCTCAGTCTACTACATCTTGCTCAGAAGAGTGAATGCTGTTATATTCTGCGTTTTGTAAGACATTCATCAGGTACAAAAAGTCATGAACTTATGTTGATTGACGGATTTTAACAACAGCCCTGAGAAAAGCCTAAAGCCAGATATACACAGCTAAAGAGGAATAACAGTAGCTATAAAAATATTCGGTTTGAATAGCACTGATTCTAGACTGGTTTCTCGTGTTTATGTTGGTGTGTAAATGAGGAGCTAAATGTGTTTAAAACCTTTGCCCACTCGTGCTGGTGAAAACCTTAAAAATCTTGATCAAAAAGACCATCAGGTGTGGAAATCTAAGGAAATGAACTGAACCCATCTTGATAAATGTTTTCATTAAAATGCAGAGGTGTCAAGTAACGAAGTACAAATACTTTCTTACTGTACTTAAGTACACTTTTTAGGCATTTATACTTTACTCCATTACTTATTTTTCTTCCTACCTCTGACTTCTACTCATTACATTTTCATACAAGTATCTGTACTTTCTATTCCTTACGTTTAAAAAAAAAAAAACGTTACTCGTTACTCTTGGCTTTGGTTTAATGTTTATAAATATTTATTTCACATCATGTGCGCCATCCAATGCAGATCATTGGCACCATCCACATCTAGAGAAAACTAGAATAATTGGATGAGTCATATAACGCAAACACTCGGAAATCATCAGAAGCAAGCAGGTGTTCTTCAAACTGCAAACGTGAATCGTCTATGCCATGCTACAATGTCGGATTCAGAAGAGGATGTCAAAATGTCTAAAAGGTCGGACACAGGCGAGAGCGTATCGAAAGATGGAGACGGTGAACAATAAGACCTCCTTCATCCTTGGCCCTATCTCAAAGAAGCTTTCTAAATAGTCGAAAAATTTAGCATTCGATTCAAATAGTGGCATCTGGCTGTTTTTTTTTTTTTTTTTAAGGTTACTCTAAACTTTTATACGTTTCTGGAGTACATACTTTTTCACTTTTACTTGAGTAAAGAGGTCAAGTTGATACTTCAACTTTTACCAGAGTGTTTTTAAACTGCAGTATCTATACACCATAACAAATGTGTGTACTTTTGACACCACTGTTAAAATGTACATGAAGCCACAAGAAGTTTCTCTCGAAGCTGGACAAACCCTCCATCA